ACGCTTCCTGGCCTTCAGGGTAGCGGGACAATCCTACAATTTCAACGTCCTCCCCTTCGGTCTCGTGACGGCTCCAAGGACCTTCACGAAATGCATGTCGGTGGTCGCAGCGGCCCTCAGACGGGAAAAGATCCGGATTTTCCCTTATTTAGACGACTGGTTGTTGGCTGCACGGTCACCGGACCTGCTGCGGGTGCAGGTGACAAGAACACTCTCCCTCCTCGAAGACCTGGGCCTTCAGCTCAACGAGGAAAAATCCCAACTCCAGCCCACCACTTGCATAAGGTTCATCGGCGCCATGTTCGATTCTCTCTCCCAGACTGTGTCCCTTCCAGAAGAGAGATTCAGGGCGCTACGGACCGAGACACTGAAAGTACGTCGCTCCCGAAACGTGTCGGCGAAGCAAGTGCAGGTCCTCCTCGGGCACATGGCCTCCACAGTGATGGTGACACCGATAGCACGGCTGCGCTTCCGTCCCTTGCAGAGGTGGTTCTTGGACCACTTCAACCCTATGCGGGACAGTGCCGCGAAGCGTCTCTTGGTACCGAAGTCGGTAAAGGACTCTTTGGCCTGGTGGACGAGGCGCGAACACGTCTGCAAGGGCCTTCCTTTTCATCCAGACCCCCCGACCGTCACAATCACGACGGATGCGTCGATGTTCGCATGGGGATGCCATACAGGAGATCTCTCGGTTCACGACCTGTGGTCTCCGCAAGAAAGACAGTGCCACATAAACTACCTAGAACTGTTGGCGATATTCAAGGCCCTGAAGTCCTTTGCCCTCCTGATTGCCGGAAAGTCTGTCCAGATTCTAACGGACAACACAGTAGCTATGTTCTACGTGAACAAGCAGGGCGGCACGGGATCAAGGAAACTCCTCGCGCTCTCGATGGAGCTGTGGAATTGGTGCGTGGCCCGCTCGGTATCGATATCGGCGATACACCTCCCGGGAGAGATCAACGTAGAGGCCGACGCGCTCAGCAGAACCAGGGCGACATCCCACGAGTGGAGGTTGAACCCCGAGGTCTTGTCGGAGATCTTCGAGGATTGGGGTCTTCCCGTCGCAGATCTCTTCGCGTCGCCACAAAACGCCCAGCTGCCTCAGTTCGGTGCCCGACTTGCTCCGAACACGGTGCCGGGATGCCTCGGAGACGCGTTCCTGTTGGACTGGTCGAGGCACCTGCTCTACCTCTTCCCACCGTTCCCGCTCCTCCCGAAGGTGATCGAGCGAATCCAGTCGGCGCAGACGGACTGCATCCTCGTGGCACCGGAATGGCCTCGACAGCCGTGGTTCCCGGTCTTGCTCCAGCTGTCGCAGGGGCTGATGAGGCGCCTTCCGCTTCGGCAGGACCTGCTCTCCAGGGAAGACGGCCAGCTTCTTCACCCCGACCTAGCTTCTCTGCATCTTTCGGCGTGGAGGATCCGGTGCTGAGGTCGCTGTGTCCAGGGGTCCTCCCGATCTTGGAGGCGGCGCACAAGCCGGCCACCAAGAAGTGCTACTCTGCCTGCCTTAACCGTTTCCAGGCCTTCCTCCTGGAAAGAGGCCTGACCGACGACCGACCGTCGATACCGACGATCCTGTCTTTCCTGCTTCACCTCACAGAACGAGGTCTGTCCTTGTCTTCGCTTAAGTCACACTTGGCTGCCATATCGTGGCAGCTCCAGAGGACAGGGGAAGCCTCCCTGTTCAAGGACAGCTCAGTTAAATCCTTTTTGAAGGGTTTCAACAATTTGTATCCCCCGGTTCGATCTCCGACTCCGGGGTGGGACCTTGACCTTGTACTGACTAGGCTCGGGCTGCCGCCTTTCGAGCCCCTAATTTCTGCGGACCTGCGATTGTTGACTTGGAAGGTAGCCTTTCTGGTTGCCATTACTTCAGCCCGCCGGCCGTCGGAGTTGGCGGCCCTGCGGGTGGACGAACCCTATTTTATCGTCCACGAGGACAGAGTAGTTCTCCGCACAGATGTGACATTCCTCCCTAAGGTCGTGTCCCCTTTCCATGTTAATGAGGACATTGTT